ACAAAAAAAAAAAGATTTATTTATTTTTATTTTATGTCTATGGGTGTTTTGCCTGTGTGTATGTGCTCACAGAGGTCAGAAGATGGCATCAGATCCCCTTGGAATTAGAGTTACTTATGGTTGTGAGCCACCATGTGGGTGCTGGGACTTGAGCCTGGGTCCTCTGGAAGAGCAGTCAGTTCTCTTAGCCCTTGAGCCATCTCTTCACCCCCAATCCCTACTTCTGGACCTCTAACCAGGGGCTTAAGACATGACTTACGCCTTTAAGGAGGAAGTGAACGGCATGGTCCCTAAGGAACACAAGACTGTTCCAGCACATTCGAGAAGTGTAGTCCAGGTAGGAGATATAAGGGGCAGATTTGCCAGGCTTTTGCCCTGGGACAGGCCAACACCTTGCACTTTCAGCCCCCCCAGCCTTGAAAAGCAAAGGCAGAGAGGAAGGAGCTGGCAGCTGGAGAGGAGGGAGGGAGGGAGGGAGGAAGGGAGGGAGGGAGGGAGGGAGGGAGGGAGGGAGAGGCTTCATTTGTCAGCTGCTCAGCAGGTACAGTCAGACTTAAAATGTCCCCGAAGAGTGTCTGCTGAGATGCAGGGGGTGAGCACGCTGAATTATTTCCCCAGTAATTGGCAGCAAAGAAACTGCGGGCATCCTGGGGTCTGCATCAAAGCTCAGAGCCTCCCCTGCTCTGCCCGCCCGCCGATTGCTCCCTGAAGATGCGATGTGGCAGCTTGGCTGTGGGTGTGCGGCCCAGGGCTCCTGAGGTCCACTTCTCTACCTGGCACTCTCCTCCCCTCTGCTTAAGGCACTGTGCAAGTGTGCGCGTGCATGAGCGTGCGTGAGCGTGCGTGCGTGCGTGCGTGTGTGTGTGTGTGTGTGTGTGTGTGTGTGTGTGTGCGTGTGCATGTGCGCGTGTGTGAGAGAAGAGAGACAATGCTTTGCTATCTGCAGAAGACAGCCTGGGGGTGGGGCCGGTGTGTGCAGCTTGGGGCTCTGACCATTGGCAGACACAGCCTCCTGCTGCCTGTAGAAACGGAAACTGGAGCCTCCCGGTCTTTCCCTGTAGCAGTTCAGGATCCAGTATTGCTGGAGTCTCTGCCCGCGGACCTGATGGGTCCATCTCTCCATATGGTCTGGGCAAAGCCAGTGGCTCTTGGTCTCCATCCCTCTGTATGGTGCTCTGGCTAGCACTCAGAGGGGGCAGTTTGACCTATTGGTCATGTTATTTTGCAAACAGTTGAATTTTCCTGTGTCAATATGTCCTAACATGTGCACATGTATGTGTACACATGAGTGCATGCCTGTATGTGTGTGTGTGTGTATACATATATGTATGCAGTTTTTATATGTGGTGTCCCCCACCCCAGTGAAGGCCCTTTCCACTGGATTTCTAGCTGGTAGCTGGGGCACCTCTCTAATAGGTGGGCCTTCCATCTGGTCACCTGATGTGGGGGTGGGAGAGAGTACTGGGGTGGCATACGGTGGGGGAGCCAGCCAGGTCACTTTCCAGCCTGGGCTCAGCTTCCTGTCTGCTTGGAGCCTGGTCTTAGGGGTAGAATGTTTCCTTTTTCCTCCTGCCCATCTTAGATTCATTGGCTGGGACCCCTGAGCCAAAAACCAGATTAACAAGAGAAAAGCATGACACATACATGGAATGTAAGGTTCATGTGACTCAGGAAACAAGGACATCCCCCCAGTGGTGTGTGGGGAAACAGTGGAGAATGGACAGACATGAATGAAGGTGTCAGGGTAGAGGGGCTGAGGGCACACCGTGGGGGCTCAGAGGATGTCTCCGCTTTCCTGCAGGATCTGGAGGGTCCCTCATGCAGATCTTCTGACTAGCTTCAAGCGGGAGGTCAGAGGTCAGGATAGGGTCAGAAAGGGCTTCCTGTGTGGGTCTCAGATTCCTTCCGTTTTAAGCACCCACTATACTAAGGTGCCGCATTTTGGGGTGGCACAGGCTGAAGTCTATTTTAAAACAGAGGATGAATTGGGGGGGGCAGTGTTGACAACAGGAACACATCCCAACCCACCCTCTGGAACTTCCCATCATCCCTCTTCACCCCAGGAGCTCTGGAGAGCACAACCCCAAACGGTTTCTCTCTCTCATTTCACAGAGGAGAGATGGAGCAGGACAATGGCAGCGCCAGGATTAAGGACACCCTGATGCACACAGTCAGGGGCTCACCAGCCCAGGCTGCCCTTCAGCAAAGAGTTCAAGGACTCACCTGGAGGGCTGTGGCTATCGCTGGGGCCTTATTTACAGAGTGCAAAGTTACTGTACCTGGGCAAAGTTACTGTATCATTTGCAGAGCCCAGGGTCTTGTCTTCAAAATTATTAAGCATTCCCAGATGGTAGCAGAAAAATACGAAGCATAGCATGGTCCCTGAGGTAGCACCTTTGCAGCCAGCACCAGGGCCAGCAGGACGCCAGCCATCTGTAGAGTAGCCCCAGGCTTCCGGGTGCCTACCTGTCCCCCAGTGCTGTGGGTCACTGGGGGCTGGTGCTGGGGCCTAATGGGGAGGCTCGAGAGACTAGCGCCTGAGTTGGAGCAAAGGCAGACCCCAGGGCTCTGCTGGAGGCATGCAAGGTGGCTCCTGGAGGGCCTCAGACGGTATACCCAGGAAAGCCAGCCTGAAATCCCAGCACTCAGGAAGCAGAGGCAGGAGGATTGCAAGCTCCAGGCCCCTTGGGCTGCATAGTGAGACTGTACATCTAAATAAAATACATAGAATGATAGGATATATCAATTTTACTCCCGGATTCAGATCCAAAAGTGATGAGTTAGAGGGGCATGGGCTAAAAGAGGGAAAATGCGGTGGCGGCGCACGCCTTTAATCCCAGCGCTCAGGAGGCAGAGCCAGGTGGATCTCTGTGAGTTCGAGGCCAGCCTGATCTACAGAGCGAGATCCAGGACAGGCACCAAAACTACACAGAGAAACCCTGTCTC